TCATATGTTTGTTGGCCGCTTGAATATCCTCCTTGGTGAAGTGTCTATTCATGTCTTCTGCCCATTTTTTAATTGGATTGTTTGTCTTTTTGTTACTGAGGTGTTGGAGTGTTCTATAAATTTTAGAGATAAGTCCCTTGTCAGATATGTTATTACGAAATATAAAATTACTTTTAAGAATATCTTTTTAATAAATATATCTCATTAAGTACCTTGAATATTTCTTAAACATGATTCGTTGCTTTGAACTGCTTTAGAGAGGTACCAAGGGCAAAGAGAAAGAACTTGGGATCTCAACAGAATCCATGGAAACAATGGGTCCATGTGGAAATCTTGACAGCTGGAGCCTGGCATTTGCATAGCCTTGTTTCTTAATTCAATTTTTTTCAAGTGGATGAAATGCTTATGAAATTCATTGGGCCGATAACCCTGGAGACTTGAATCATTCAGCCAGGAAATAGTAACTCAAGGCAGGTCAGGTTTCTTGCAGCAGCCAAGGTTTGGGGGCATCTGGTTCTATTTCATTGCTAGAATGCTTCCACCTAAGAAATTATGTGTCTGGGCTTTTATCAAGTTAATTGCTACAGAGTCCCCTGGAGATGATGAGCATTCTTGTGGGCTTCTTGAGGCAAATAATAATTTTTAAGAAAGTGTTACCATTTAGAGCAAAAGGATAAAATAATTTTAGAACTAACCCACTGTTACCATCCTGCTTAAGGTCATCATCATCATCTCTTCCATGGATGCCTTGCTTCTGGGTTTGTTGCCTTACAATTTAAACTCAACACAGAAACTAGAGTAACCCTTTTAAAATTGAAGTCATATCAAGACATTCTTCTCTTCAAACCTCTCTGAACTGTTGCTTGTTTTGCTCAGAGTAAAAGCGAAAGTTCTTACAATGGCCTCAGAGACCCTACATTACTTGTGGCAGCCCCTGTCCTGCAACATGCCAGGCTTCCTTCCCAAGAACTACCCCATCCAGCCACAATGGTCTCCTTGCTGTTCCAGGAATATGCCAAACACACTTTTACTGCAGGGAATTTGCAGTTCTGCCCATAATACTCTTCCATCAGATGTCAACACGGGTAGCTCTTAAGATTTCTCTGTTCAAATGTGAGTTCTAGAAAATAGCACCCCATCTGCAACCTCAATACTCTCTATCCCACTGATGCCATTTCATTTTCTCTGTAGCACTTGCAGCACTCATGCCAAACAGGCAAAGAGGCCACATATTCTGAGCTCCTCTAACCATACAAGATGAAGACAGAATCACTATCAGCAGTCCAAGGCCTATTCCTGTGAGGCCAGACATGCTGCCTCCCTCCATCCCTTTCACCAACCATGATACCAACTGTCACTCCCACGGCACTCACTACCTCTCTACTGGGCTCGACAATTCATTGCAGTGGCTACACAGAACTCACAGACACCACTCACATATTATGGGTTTATTAGGGATGCAACAGGCTACAATTCAAGTTCAGGAACATGCTCAGTCTCTCTCAGTCGGCCGCCTTTCAGCTGACAGTCTCTCTCAGTCTTTCTCTGTAGCACATCTCTCTCTCTCAGCAGTTTGTGTCTCTTTATCTCTCTCAGTAGTGTGTGTCTCTCATGTCTCTCTCTCTCTGAGCAGCATGTCTCTCTCATATCTCTCAGCAGCGTGTTTCTCTTAGCCGGCAGTCAGAGAGACTCCTCCTGTCTCTAGGAGGGCTCCTTTTGAGCCTGGCAGAGTGGCCAAAACCAATGAATCCCAATATCAGAGTTCTACACACCTGAGAGAGTGTGAACTTCCCAGAAGATTGCTTCATACTACTCTTAACAAGGTGGATAACTTGATCACGAGCTACTCAGTTGCTCATGGCAAATTCTACCACGGAGTTTACAAAGAATATGGCCAGAAAACCCAAGCTATGTAATTTACTACACTGCAATTCATCACTATCTGACAGGCTATGTATTTACTGGCCTATCATCTGTCACCCAGACTGGAATCTCCACAAGGGCAGAGGCTGGGTGGTGTTTGCAGTCAGTAATCATGAGGGTGATGCTAGCTGATTGCACATATGTGCCAGGCAGTGTCATAAGTGCTTTACATGCATTGATTCATGTTATCCTCACAGTGGACCTATGATAGAGGTACTGCTATTTCCCTCATATTATGGATGGGAACACTGAGACACAAGAAGTTAGGTATTTGGCCAAGTTAACACAATGAACAAGTGAATAAATTAACAAACTGGAAAAGGACTTTAGAATTCTTATCTCACTCACTTCATTCAATTTCCAGGTAGGAAAATCATGTCCCAGTGAGTTGCTAAAGAGCAGAGTGGTGTCTAGGACCACTCTCTGTGTCCTTCCTATACCCCTGCCAGCTGCAGAACTATGAAAGTCCAACTCTTTGCATCTTTGCAATGACATAATTCCACTCTTCTTTATTTGACTGGAATCCACAGAGTTTAGCAGTGTGTCTGGCACACAGTAAGCACTCAGCAAATAATTTTAAAAAAAAGAATAAAAGATGATAGAATTTTTGGATACCATCAAAGTGGCTGCTCAAATTAAGAGCAGGCTTGGCAAAGCAATCAACCCAATTTTCAAAAGGCATGAGAATTCTTAGATAATCCTCCAACTAGGCCTCTCTAGAGGCAGCTAGTACTATGTTTGTGAATCCTCAGCTTTGGGGGATACTTCCCCAGGCACAGCAGATGGTTGAGCAGGAATTCTGGGGAGCAACTTTCAGAGCAACCTGTACTGAGAATCAAGTGGTTTTATAAATATAGTTATCCCACTATCTATCTACTCTTATCTCTCTAAACCCATCTCCAGGAGCAGATCTTGATGCACATTTTAGCCTAATTTCACTGTACTGAAAATGTGTGTTTGTGTGTGTGTTTTAGTGGTTGTGTCTTATGGTATGTTGATGAATATATCAGAAGGTGTGGGAGTAGAGTGTCAATAGGTATGTTGGCAATTTTGTGGTGAGACAGGTAATGAAGAGAGCTTCACAGAGTATGATTAGTTATAGATATTCCTGACTCTTGTAGGATTGCTTTGCCCCACTCACACATATGTAAGCCTATTAATAAAACATCCCTCTCTTTCCAAAAGTCTCCATCTCTATTTTCATCAGAAAGATACTGAAGAAGTACTTATTTATGCATCGTATTAAGTGAAATGTCATAATGACCAGTTAAACATAGTGACCCAGCCCCTTCCTATTCTTCCAGGGTCTTGTCTCTGGGTTTCATTAGGCAAAGAAGCATCCCAACACCATCTTTGTGGCCCTGGACTTAGTGTTCACAATTCAGTGGCACCTTGGGCAGGTGAGCTGGCTGTTGCTGAGTATGGCTACCCATTAGCAAGGTACTGGGGAAACACTTGCTGATCACCAACTGTTAGTAGGACACTCCACGAGGCAGAATGGTAGGTTGGCTTCCTAGCTCAGGCACCCCCTTGAAGAGTTTAAGGATCATCACTCTGAGCTGATGCATTTTCCTTCAATTAGTGGGATATGGAGAAGAAGCTTTACTGGTGATTGAATAAATTTGTTTCTCTCCCTCTCAAATCTCACTCAGTGTAAGAATCAGAGCCTACGGCCTCCTCTGAGACCCCCATTGGAAGGCCAGGCAGAAAGAGCACAGTCAAAATTATACATGTGTTTATTTTACTCTTCCAAGTTTGAACTTAAAGATCTTAGCAAGTTTTCAAATATAGCATTAAATTATCTGTAGGTATGACCCCCAAACTACCTTTTGCATTGTTATCCATAATCAATTCTCTTAACTACAATGTTTTCTTTGCATTTCCTCAGCCACTGAACTACTAATGAATAATAATTCTTAAAATTGTTAATTTTTTTAACAATAATTTATTAAGCACACTGTACATTTCAGCAGCATTGGGTGCTGCTGGCCCACAGATGCCTTGCTTTTAAAAATGTTTTCTCTAATTGTAATGCTTTACCTATGCACACTACTAGGGTAGTGAAGCAATAAAGTGCAGTGATTACTAGAGAGAAAGGGAAGATCAATCTGAAATCATATACAAAGCTCTCTAAGATCTTGATGCTCTGATTATAGGAAGATGAGACTTGGGGCTCACCCTCTACTTCTCCCCAGTCTCTCCCTTCTGTTTAGAACTTTTCCTCTGACCACGGTTGGGAGGTCTTTCTAGTGTGCATTGCATTAACTCATTGGATCAGGACTGAAATCACCATCCTATGCCTTTATATACATTATCTCTTTTCATTTGCCCTTATTTTACAGATGGGAAAGCTGAGGTTCAGAAAGGGTTAATAACATCCTTAAAGTCACCAGCAGGTAAAGCTGGGATTACCTGTGATTTTAACCATATACTGCTTCCATTATTGCTTATTACTGCAATGCTATGCTTACATTTTAAGTGCAGAATAGTTTTAGAATTTTATTTATTTATTTACTTAGGTAACATGTGAAGCTACCCATGGCATTTCACTTACAGCTAAGTGAAGTGGACTCTTGGTAGCACCAGAATCTGACTCTTCAAAACCATTGTTGGTTCTTTCCAAAAGCTGTGGAAACAGAAAGAAAACAATGGTATGTAAACCTGTTTGCAAAGTGCAAAAAGAATCTTACTTTCTAGATACTTATACTGGCATAAATGAGAAAGGAAACTTCAGAAACTTAAGAAATTATGCAGCTTATCAACAATATAAAAAATCTGATGCCACATATCTAAAACACATATGCTGACCAAATATTTAAACTTCTAGACCATGTCGACATTTGCTAGTCAAATAAAAGCTTTCACAATTGAAAAGATGCTCAGTTTCACCACTCCTCACACACACAAAATTTATATGAAATCCATATTTCACCTATGCAGATTGGTAATAGTGAGTAATGTATCAGCAAAATCTTTTAAATGGTATTTAAAACCCTGAAATTGGACGAGATGACCAAATAGTAAACGCCGACAAAGAAGAGAAGGCGTCCCAGGACAGTCCTGGGAACTCAACATCAAAAGTGGGAGAAATTAGGAGTAACCAGAAAAGGACAGAAATAGCAAGTCAACTAGAAGGAAAACCCTGATAGTGTGAGATTCTAGAAACCAGGCAAAGAAAGAGTTTCAAGGAAAGAGTGAGCAGCTACGTCAAAGGTTCTGATAAAAACTAAAATCAATGCCGTTAACTCTATTCTGACTCATAGTGGCCCTATAGGACAGAATAGAACTGCCCCATAGGGTTTCCTAGGCTGTAAATCATTTCAGAAGCTGACTGACACATTTTTCTCCTGCAGAGAGGATGGTGGCTTCAAACTGCTGAACCTTCTTTTGGTTAGCAGCTGAGAATTAAACCACTCTGCCACCAGTGCTCAGTCAGCTAAAATGAAGTCTGAGAATTGACCACTGGGTTTACCAATACAGAGGCTGCTACCAGTGACTCTGATAGGAGCTCTGGTGGCATAGTGCCTAAGGCATGTGACTGCTAACCAGAAGGCTGGAGTTTCAAACCCACCAGCCACTCCTTGGAAGGAAGATGGGGCAATCTACTTCTGTAGTGATACTGCCTTGGAAACCCAAGGAGGGGTTGCTATGAGTCGGATCTGACTCGACGGCAGTGAGTTTGGTTTTTTTTGGAGTGACTCTAATAAAAACAGGTTATCAAAACATTGTTTATATGGTGTGGGGGAAAAAAAACAGCAATAGAGATAGGCTAAATAAATGGTTGTGCTATATATTACTCCTTAAGATAAAACGTCCCTCTTTATCTAGCCTTAAAGTTCTTCTTTGTATAGTGATGCATCCAAAAGAAACACAAGTCCAACTCCAAAAGTCTTAATGTTGGTGAACATGGTAAGAGTCACATTCACTTCAATCTTTTGACTGGTGGTCTTGCGCTGTCCTATATTGCAGAGGGTAGAGTCAGATTCTGCTCAATGGCAGTGAGTTTTTTTGTTTTTGTTTAGACAGCTAAAAGCTATACTTCCTAGACCCCCTTGAGCTAGGGTTCCAGGTGTGATTTAGATTCTGTCAATTAGATGCATTCACATGAAATCTGGAAGACATGTCTCTGTGACTTCCGATGGCAAGCATAGTTGTGGAGACTTTGTCTTTTAGCTTCCAGTGTCTGGGTCACTAGTTTAAAGAACAGGGAGGCAAGACACACCGGCATAGTGTGGTGTGGATTGAGCACATGCTGGATGGCTCTAGGGCCAACAGTAGTAGCAGTGACAATTCTGTTCCTGTATGTCACATAGGGTGATGTGCTTCCGGAGTAAGCCTTTCTAAGGCCTCTTTCTAACTCCCTGTCATGCCAATTATGGGAAGCAGCAGCTTCTCTGGCTGCTCAGTTCTATAGATCAAGGTTATTTCTGGGGGACCAGCCTAGACTCCCCTCTCCTAGACCTTCCAACAATCTTGTACACACCAATTATTTTCTTGAGTCAAATCTTTCAACAATATTTTAAAATGGCTAGTGTGGTTTGACTCGATGGCACATAACAACAACAGTGTGATTTTCATCTCCTGCAAATGAACCCTGACTGATTCAAAAGATAATGTAGATTTAGATATAAATTTTATATAAGTTTTTTCAACGGAAGTAGTAAGGGAAAATTACATCATCCTTATGAAAAGTATTATTAAATATACTAGAAAGCAAAACTTCACAAAAATTCACTTCTCTCCTTTTTTCTTGCTGAAACTCCCAAACTTCTCAAGCAGAAAAACATGTTTTAAAGCCATACATGTGAAACACCATTTTTATTTTTTTAAAAATCCTATACTGACATGAATAAATATGCAGAAAAATACATAGAAATAGCTGTTCTAAAATGTTTAGCCAATAATCTAAAAGAAAGACTATAGATTATTTTTATTCTTTTATAATCAGAAAAACACTAAAGCTATTTCTATGTTAGAGTAAAGCTATTAACCTTCCTTTTCATTTTATAAAGTGATTCACACAACACTGCCTGCCCTGACAGATCCAAAACTTGTTTCTAGTCAACGCATGTGGAACAAAATACTATAACAGGATTTTTTTGTAAATCCAATGACAGTGTAAAATTCCCTGTCTAAAAGCATGCAATCTCAAATTTGTAAATAATAAAACACAAGTAATTATACTGAAAGCATGAGATATTTTATATTTGTTTCTTATTAGTGTGAAATAGAATATGGATCTTAAACATTCTATGATATGTTAGAATGAGAGTAAATTTAATTTTAACTTCAAACCAAATAACTTTAAAACCAATCTCTCTTACACAAATAAAAGAAGCTTAAACTGCTTGATAAGGTTTGAAAACAGCTGTCTTTTGCTTTGTTTTGCAACATTATCACCTGCAAGACTTCCTGGAATTGACTGTGTGTACCAACTCCAAATCCTGTCCTAGAATGAACTTTTAATCAAAGGAACACAGAATCATTTCCACCACTATGACAAACATGATGGACAGGGAAAAGAAGACAATATACACTTCAGAGTCACGAATTAGACACATTGCCAGACAATTTATTATGGAATAAGATTTTTTCCATATACATACTTTGATTATTCTAAAAGCATGTGATACTTTACTTCAATCATCCATCAAATATTTTCTGAGTGTCCCCTATGGGCAGGACACTGGGTTAGGCACTAAGATTCAACCATGAGGAAGGCAGATATGGTTACTGATCTGATAGAGGTTACAGTCTATGGGGAACCCATAGAAGTTAACAGATAATTAAAATAATGAGACAAATGCTAGGATAGAGAACTGTGAGATACTATAGGAACACTAGAAAGGTACCTGACATAAACCTGAGGGTCAGAGAAGACTCTTTTATGAAGTAATGACTAGCCTTGAAACCTGGACGATAGGAATCAACCAAGCAAAGAGAGAAGTGGAGAATGTTTCCAGAAAGAAGGATGAGAATATAAGAACAATGAGTACAGCAAATGTAAAAACCTGCAAGAAGTTCAATAAGTCTAAGGTAGTAAGTAGGAAGGTCCCTGGTTGATGCAAACAGTTTGTGCTCAGCTGCTAACTGAAAGGTTGGTGGTTTATATGCACCCAGCATCATAATAGAAGAAAGGCCCAGTGGTCCGCTTACAAAAGGTCAGTCTTCAAAGCTCTATGGATCACAATTCTATTCCTCAACATATGAGGTTGCCATGATTCAGAATTCACCCAATGGCAACTGGTTCCATAAAATAACATAAGATATGGAGTTCAGATCTACTCTAACACACATGTGCTTGCCAGCAGTTGGAATCAATTTGATAATGGGTTATGTGTAGCAATGAGGAAGTGCAGTGTAGTAAATTACTTAGTATAGCTTTTCTACCCATAAGTCATTGTAAACTCAGTGGTGGAATGAGCAACTGAGGAGCTGATTGTAAATGTTATCCACGTGGAGTGTTTCTGTTGGGTGTGGCACAATACAATGTTCTGGGAGGTGCCCACTTTCTCTCAGGTGCTTAGAGCTCTGATGCTATGATTGGCTAGTTTGACCACCCTGCCGGGCTCAAAAGGAGGCCTCCTGGAAGCAGAACTCTCTCTGACTGCTGGTGGAGGAAGATGTGCTGCTGAAAAGAGACACGCGCCCCTGAAAGAGACACGTGCTGCTGGGAAAGAGACGCGAGAGACACGCATTGCTGAGTGAGACACTGAGGGACCAGCACTGCTGGGAAAGAGACTGTGAGAGACTGTTGGCTGAGGGACGTTGGGCTGGGAGAGAGACTGAGCGTTCTTCCTGAATTTGAGTTGTAGCCTGGTGCTTCCCTAATAAACCCCATAATCTGTGAGTTCTGTGTGGCCACTGCAGTGAATTATCGAACCCAGGAGAGAGATGGTGGGTGCTTTGGGAGGAACGGTTGGTGAAAGGGCTAGAGGGAGGCAGCATGTCTGGCCTTGCAGTAATAGGCCTTGGGTTACTGCTGGTAATCCTGCCTTCCCCTTGTAGGGTTAGAGGAAGTCAGAACATGTGGCCTCCTTGCCCTTTTTGCAGGAAGGAATGAGGAGCAATAATGCTGGAAATGTAACACAAGATAGATTAAGTATAAAACCAAACTCATTGCTGTTGAGTCGAACCCAACTCATAGTGACTCCTCCTTGGGTTTCTGAGGCAGTATCACTACGGAAGTAGATTGCCCAATCTTCCTTCCAAGAAGTGGCTGGTGGGTTTGAATTGCCAGTCTTCTGGTTAGCAGTCAAATGCCTTAGGAACTATGGCATAGGGTGATCATATAATTATGATCTAGGACATTTTTGAGAGTGATAATTGCACTGGAACAGAAGTTGCAAACCAGGACATTAAATCAGGATGCATAATCACCATAATTATTCAGAACCATCAGAGTACTTTAAGCAAGATAGAGAGGTAAGATCAAATACGTATATTTCACAGAAGTAATTCTTGATGCCTTCTGGAAAATGGACTGCAGTGTTGCTGACCATGGGGGCTACATCCCCAGAAGCAGGGAGAGCAGTTAGGAGATTCAACTGTGAGATTTCTAAATTGTAGCTATGAAGTCAATGATAACTAAGAGTGGCTTGAACTGCAGAAGAGATAATGGAAATG